GAATCACCTAAGTCCAGGAGTTGGAGGTTGCTGTGAGCTGTGTGATGCTATGGCACTCTACCAAGGGCGATAAAGTGAGACTCTGTACAAAAAAAAAAAGTGACAAAGCCAACATATTTATGACTCTGTGGGTACAGAACTACACTTCTTAATTTAAAGATCTCCAGAGGAGAAGAACCCCCCCACTTCCTTCACCACCGTTCCAGTGTTGATGTTGCTCACAAATGTTCTTTCTGAAATAAATCATATTTCTTTTAAAATTTATTTATACTTATTTCACCCCTAGTAGAGACAAAAAATTGTTGAGGGAGTATACTGTGGCATATTGACATTTAAATATGCCCAGGATCAATTTGATACAAACCAAGACATCCTTTGCATGTTTGTCAATGGTTCCCTGTGCTCCCCACACAATCCGGTTTGGGGAGACAGCCTTCAGTTATCCTCACCAACAATCTCTACCGAGTCTTAAAATTTATGCAGCCTCTTGAGTAAGAACTCATGAATACTGTTCTGGTTATTACCTGGTCTCAGGTTTCTTGACCTTGCACCCAGGAGACCAACGGATGACGGCAAGTGAGGGAGATGCCTGGCCTGCCCTGACTGCCTGGCTGAAGCCCAGGCAGGACGCCGTGGGGACAGCTTCCGACACTTGTCTGCCAGTGGTTCTCATGCTTTCTTTTCTTGTTTTTCTTACACTTGTCAACCCAAGCAGGGCAAAAGTCCCATTGTATCCATTCCCACTTTATAGGGAGAAAAGAAATTGAGGGTAACAAAGATTTGGAGGAGAATAAAATAGCAATCCAAATGGTAACATGGTGGTAGTTATATAAAAACAAAGGGATCAGCAAGTAAAACTGGACATTCCTTCACACAAGGGCAGCAACGGGAGATGCACTCAGGATCGCTGGAGGCCTTCATGAAAACTGGGGATTCCAACTGCTCCCACAAGTGAGGACACTGGAGAGGTGTGTTACTCTGCCAAGGATACAAAGTATCTCTGCTTCTCCTGGTAGCTGGAGCAATAGGCTGTGAGCAGGCATCACTCAGCAGTAAGCAAACATGGACATCAATAGATCGCTTTGAAGATGGGCTTCACTGCATATTTGCAGCTTCTCTCAGAGGCCCTGGAGTCTACTGCTGTACATAGTGAACCCAACAATGTATGCTGAGAGGGGGAGAGGGACAGGGGCGGTGAAACATAAGACTACTAGTCTTACTAGTCTCTAGGAAGCTGGGTGAGGGGCTCCTGAGGGATCAGCTTTCTGGGGGCCCCATGCCCTAGAGGTGTATAAGGATCCAAGAAATGGAAACCACCCCAGAATCTCTGCTTTACCTTTTTTCTTTTCACAGCTCTCTGTCCCACCAGGCACATTTGTTATGACCTCATACAGTCATCCTTCCTGCCCACCTGAGGCCCCCATAACCCATTCTCACAGTCTGGCGTCTGTTCTGATCTCTCAATCTTATCCCCTTCATGAAGACGTCCCTGCTTACTGTGAATAATCCCTCAAGGGAGGGTAAATAATTAGCTACCTTTTTCAGGGCTTGTCATGTTGAATATCTTGCTCAAGACCACAGCTAGAAGCCATGGGAGCAGGACTCAGGCCCTGAGAGCTCCCACAGGTCTCTGCTGCATGTCAGCAGGTGGTCGAGCAGAAAATGTCCTGGTCCTCTGGCTCCAAACTAAATGAATGATCCCCTCCTTCCTACAGCTGCCTAAAAATGAAGCTCCCTTGATAACCTCCGCCTCTCACCCGCCACCAGCTCCTTCACTTATGACGCACTTAGTGCTTTGCTTTGTTTTAAACCTTGACACTTTCTTTCCTCTATTGATTTAAACAATTATTTAAACAAATTCTAGCATATCATTTAAAAAATTCAAGCAATATTGAGGCTTAAAGGGCATAAGCAAAAAATCTTCATGACTGTCATCTCCTGATTCCAATCCTACCCTCCAAATGAAAGTACTGTTAACTAGTAGTGAGTATGTTTTCAGACTTTTTCTATATGTATATAAATGTGTGCATGTTTGCATGTGTAGGACGTTTTTCTGACTTCTCAGAGTTCTGTAGTCTGTAGGTATCTTTATTCTCAATCATTGCCCATTCCAGATTGCAAGCTTCAAATTCAATCATTGTCCATTCCAGATTGCAAGCTCCAAAAAGGTAAGGTATGTACTTTTAAATCAATCTGCCCAGCACCTGACCAAAGGAACAACTATTCTTTGTAGGAGCTCTTGGGTTGGACAAAGGTGAAGGCAGGATCCCTCTCTAGAGAGACCCTGAGGTCACCAAGAAGGAAGAGCAAAGCGAGCTGCAGAGAAGACAGCTCACCGGCAACTGGCCTGACCTGCAGGGTGCACACACGCCCCAGGCTGTGAAATCACTGTTGTGTGGGTCGTCTGGTGGCCCGGGGAGGGGACAAAAGAGGAGGGGAGGCAGGAGCACGGAATGTGGGCTGGGCCAAGTTTAGAATTACAAGTGCCACAGAGGCGTTCTTCCCTCACACTTTAAATAGCCAGCACCTTTCCCTTCCCCTTTGGATAATTCTTCTCCCCTGACTGGACCTCAGGCAGCAACTTCACTAAGGTTCGGAATGCTTTCTTCTCTTTTTTCCCCTGTTTTTTTCTGTTTCTGGGTCTCAGAATGCAGGTTGATGGGATCTGTAGAGCTTACAACCAAAGGACTTTTGATGATATGTTTCTGACATTTATGTGTGCATATGCAGAGACTATATGCTATCTTCTTGACATGCTAACCTTGGGTAGATGTTGACTGAAGGGACAATATGGTTTGGAAAAAGAGAACCCCAGATGGAGAGGAAAGACACTTGGGTTTAAGTCCAGGGAAACGAAGGCTTTTCTTCTCCGCAAAACAAGATGATTAATTCTTTGACAAGATTGAAAGTAAAAATTTGAGTGCCATGATTCCACTAAGTGTGTGTTTGTATTTCCTCATTTGATTCTTATAGCCAAGTATTTTCCTATCATCCCCACTTTAACAGATGAGCAAACTAAGGCTTAGGGTCATTTATTAACTTCTCTGAGGCCGAGCAGTGGTATGAGAAAAAAATCAAGGTTTGAACCTGGCCTTTTCTGACTCTATAGCTAAGTCCTTTCAACTGTAACACGCTCCCTCCACAACTATAATGAGGCTGAAGGACCCAGGAGAGGGCTACTGATTCCTCTAGGGTCTGGGAGGATGAAGAAGTGAGGGAGATGGTTTCCATCAGTGGAGACATCCACCAGATGGTAAGCGGGGCCCAGACCCAGCATCCTTCTTAGAAGACCTTCCCTAAAGGGCTGAGGAGCCCTCTTGGGACTAGTTGCTTGAGCTTTTCTTTCATAGCCCACAAACAGTCTTTGGAGCCCATTCTCTAACTTATCAAATAAGCAAAGGTGCCTACTGTTCCCTGACTTTCTAATTTTCTAGATCCCTCCAGTAGCCCGACTGGAGGTGAGGGACAGCATTTGTGGCTAGAAGGGGCCCCCACTGAGAAACTTTTGTTAGCATAGAAGTCCGCCTGCTCACTTGTCCAGAAAAGGGGGCTGTCGTATAAAATCAGGAAAGTCAGTAGAAGATGCTTGGTGCTAAACATGGGCAGCCCACACAATGGAAGGGACAAGGATTGTGCCTCACAAATCTGAAATCTGCCTGATAGAGCAGGGGCAGAGCTGGCGCGGGTCCTGGCTGTGCAACTTACTGACGAAGGGGCCCTAGTCACCTTGTTTAACCTCTCTGAGCTGCAGCCTCCTTATTTACAAAGAGGAGGTAATAACACTCAC